ACGTCTTATGGTGAATTCTATTATTTGGTGATCACTGTCCCCCAGGTGACCACCGATCTGTAGGTCTCCTACCATATCATCCCCCGTTGCCAATACAGGTCCAGTAAGGCATTCCCGCTAGTGGGACCATGTACCTCCTGTGTCAGATGGAGGTCCTGTACACAGGATAGGAACCTGCGTGAATGGTGGGACTTTGCTGTCTGCGTCTCCCAGGAGATGTCTGGATAGTTTTAGGTCTCCCATGACTACCACCTCCCTAGTTTTTATGGTCTCTGAGAGCTGCCTCAGGAGCCCCAAATCTAGTTCTTTCCCCTTGGTGTAGGGGTCTGTAGCAGACCCTTATCACCAAATCCCTTTCTCCTTGACCTCCATGTAACCTGACCCACAATCCTTCTACTTTCTCTTCCTCCGATTCCGTTTTGATAAGGGTCGATGTATATCGCTCATTGACATAGAGCGCAACCCCTCCCCCTCTCTTTCCCACTCTATCCTTTCTGTTCAGGATCAGCAGCTTTGCTGTCTTTGGGAGTAGAATGATCTGTCAGGAGTGCAGATCAAGATACTCTCAGAGAGAAAAAGGAAATTAAGATTTGATTTGGGAATAAGCAATAAGAGGACCGTGTGCTCAAGCACAGAACTGGAGAGGAACCAGTCAGAGATTTACTAGCCAAAGCAGTGGTTGCCAAGCTTTATGAAGCAATGGACCACTGTCTCACAGACAGCCATGCACCTTTAACAGTGAGCTTTTAATTTAAAAGGAGTCAAAGCAGTGCAACTCCAAGGCTGTTTACCCCATAGCCTTGCTGCATTGGGGTGCAGTGTGGAATTCACTGGACTAGAGGTTTGTTCAGTGGTGTGGTTGGTTCTTGAGCACCTCTGATGAATGTGGGGTGTGCGGGCCGGGAGCAACCTGAGCCCTTTTCGTGCTGCGCGTGGGCTGTGGCCAGCAGCCCGGGCATGCCGGGGCGGAGAGGGAAGGCCTTCGAGCTGGAATTGGGCACGGACGCGTAGCGGTAGTTTAAAAGATTGTTTACTTACACCGAGATGGCAGTGGTGTAGGCTGGAAAACTTGCTTAAGTTGCGGTTACAGAGAGAAAAGAAAACAACAAAACTCGAACCTGCAGGGCACGAGGGTACGTCGCAAAGGGTTCTGGCGACGGGAAGATGAAAAATACAAGGGTACGTCGCAAAGGGTTTCGGCAACGGGAAAGTAAACCTGCAGGACTCGAACCCGGGTAGAAGAGCTCTGAGGCCAGTCGTAAGGGCTCACACGAAGTTTGCTAGGCTCCGTGGGTCCGGTTCTCTTGCGCGCGGGAAGGGATACGTCTG